TTACCCGCAGCAGGGGACGCGTGAGACAGCTGGGTGCAGTGACGAACGGGGAACCGCCGCCCCCTTCCATTCACGATCGAGCAGTCTATCCTCTGGTTCCGGACCATCGACGAGCTACACTCACCTGGGAGAGGTCTGTGGGACTGTCTGAATGACGCTTGCCCCAGGGGGAGGAGCGAGGACATGATTCTGCCGCTGCTCCCCCCAGACTGACTATGGTGCGGTGCGTGCGAGATGACCGGATGCAGGGGTGGTTGGGGAGTTGTCGTCCCCCCCCCTCCTCCGTGACTGAACGGCTCCTCCTCCAGCCCCAGACCATCAGTAGATCACAGCCACCTCGAAAGGACCTACGGGTCCACCCAGATGACATTCATATAAGCAGTGAAAACACCAAAACTAAAGGAAAAACTTGTCTTAAGAAGGACAATGGGACGAAGGAGGATCGCAAAACAAACATGGAATGTGTATTGCCACCTGACCCCGGGGGAGAAGGATTAAAACATAGAGACCATTGTAATTACAGAGGCATCTGCCCATCCACCCTAAGACTGAGAGAAAGAAGGATGGAGGAGGATGAACATGCAATTAAAAGGAATAGAAAGGAACAGACCAGCCGTGCGCAGTCATCCCAATTAGGCCCGATGACGAGATTGAGGAGTCGTGCGCAGGCTTTGTTGCACCTATAAAAGTGACTCTCTCACTCCCTGGCGCACTAGCCCTGAGGATGCCGGCAGGTGACGGCGAAAGCTAGGCGCTTTTTATTAAATTTTATGATTTTTATTACCCTGGTGATCATTTTATTTCTTACTATATATATATATATATATATATATATATATATATATATATATATATATATATATATATATATATATATATATATATAATCAATAAATACCGAACACCAAGAGGAAAGTATAAAACTTTAAAAATTTAATGAGCCGAGCTTTCATTGGAATCATCCAACATCATCAGGGCTTTAAAATAGTTACTGAGAAGAAGCCTTTATATGATGTTAGCAGCCTGTATCCAGCTTCTAGAACATATTATTGGGCCCAGCTGATCATGCCGTATCACGGGTAGATCACCTATGTCAATGTATGATGTTTTCCCACATCTCCTCCGTATTTTACTGTAAGTGTTCTCCTTGTCAACCTTAGGGCTAGAGCAGTGGTTCTCAACCTTCCTAATGCCACGACCCCCAACCATGTGGTCGTAAGTCAAGGACTACCTGTGTTTCCCTGCGGGCGGAGCAGGAGGAGGCGCGCACGCTCCGCTTCCTCTCCTGCGGCTGGAGCGCACACTGGGCAGGCCGAGGGTGTACGCAGGCCATCGCCCAGCAACTGCCTCGGCACGGGAGCACCGCGCATGCATGGTGCTGCCCCCTGCGCCGGCCAAGGCATAGCTGGCAAGCGGCAGCGATGGCGCAGGCCGACCACCGGCTGGGCCACCAGCTGGCCCAGCCCAAGGGAGCTAAGCCACCCGCTGGACCCCACGCGCACCAGCAAACCTCCCTGCACCCGCTGGCCTCACACCTCCCACCCCTGGTCCTCTTTTACTTACATTTAGTATTTGCTCAGCAGGGAGGGGTGGAAATGTCCAGAAAGTTCACCTTAGCTGCATACAACTTGCAGAATCGTTTGCAGACTGGGACTTTTGGCAGTCTCAGCAGGGCAGAGACAGCCTGGACAATTCCTATTGGCTTTTGAAAGCCAATAGAATTAGACTCTATTCAAGAGAGTCTATTCTATTGGCTTTCAAAAGCCAATAGAATAAGAGGGAGTAGCACAGCTAAAGAAAAGGGGGGGGGAAATGGCGGACTGCATTGTTTGGCGACCCCCGTGAAATGGTCGTTCGACCCCAAATGGGGTCGCGGCCCACAGGTTGAGAACCGCAGGGCTAGAGAGAGTTCTTTTCCCTTCACTTGCCGATGGTGAGTGTCCCCCTCCCCCCTACTGTAAGGAGAACACTTACAGTAAAATATGGAGGAGATGTGGGAAAACATCACGCACTGACGTAGGTGATCTACCCATGATATGGCATGATCAGCTGGGCCCAATAATACGTTCTAGAAGCCGGATATAGGCTGCTAACATCATATAAAGGCTTCTTCTCAGTAACTGTTTTAAAGCCCTGATGATGTTGGATGATTCCAACGAAAGCTCGGCTCATTAAATTTTTAAAGTTTTATACTTTCCTCTTAGTGTTCGGTATTTATTGATTTTATTATGGATATACCCAAGAGTCAAATTTTTAGCTTTATAACTCATCAATGTGTGTGTGTGTGTGTGTGTGTGTGTGTGTGTGTGTGTTATATGTAAGATTTACAAAAAATAACAAAAGTTATAAGTTTTTAATCTTTTCACACAATTAACTGCTAGGCTACCAGTAAGCCTTCTAGCAACTTTTCTACTACTGATTCCCTCCAGATGTTTGAGTTTTAACTCTATGCCTTCTCAGACAATATGGACTTTGGCCTCACTGGCTGAGATTAATGTCAGATGATATCCAATTTATCTGGATGCTAACAAGCTGTGAAAATGGCAGTATCTAGTTTCTAAGCATGGACTTGTTGAAGGAAAAATCTTCATCAGGGTCCAGTCCAAGCTGGAAATAAGCAAAATGAAGACTGCTTTAGAAAGGAGGTTGTAGTTTATTGAAGAGCAAAGCCAAATAGAAGCATGGCTCTGGAAAAACTGACCACACGTAGTAGGGAACGGTGGGTTTTTATACATTCTTGAGCTTTTGTTTAGAGTTGTTCATGTGGCATGAACTTTGACCTAAGTCTGAGTGTGCCTTTCTGGTATTTTGATGGTAGTGGATGAATCCTATTATATCCCAAAGGTCATATCATGCTTCTCTGGGGCTGTGGCTGATGACTGTTGGATTTTTTTGGTGTGAGGGATTGTTTATTCTAGGGATCTTTCGTTCTAATCCCAGCTTCCTGACTCCAATCTTTCTGACAAGATTATTACATCTGCATTTCTGCAGACCTGGTTTCTATTTGGGGCAGAGAGACTTGGTGGGAGGGTTGGTTTCTGCCTTTAAAATCCTTTGGGGAAATATATTCTGCCTTTTTAATATTTCCCAAAATATTTCTTTCTCTGGATTCTTCCCACAATATTTACAGATTTTTTTCAATGGACCTGTCAATCAGGCCAACCTAGTCATTAATTAATTCTAGTACTGCCATCATTTCTTTCATTCCTATGCATACCAATTTCCCTTATATAAAAGATGGAGAATTGATCATTCTGTTTGCTGCAAGCAATCCTCAGCATGTAATATACAGTAATATATTACTGTAATACATTTTTCACCAAATATCTATTCTTTTTGCATTACTGGAGTTCATAATTATTTAAAATATCACAGTTAAAACAATTTCTATTTTTCTTTATTTCCCTAACTCAACAGCCATGGATGACTCCTAAATACTATCAGAAATGAAATTAACAAATGATACAGCTTAAAGTTGGGGTTTTAATTTTTTTATTTCATCAAGATTTTCATCATGGCTTAAATTCCAGCTACTATATAATTTCTTTTTCCATTTTTTTCTCCCATTTGATTTGCTTGTTCTTTTTTTAAACCATCCTGTCAGGAAAAGAAATTAATCTGCACAATATTTGCACTCTATATTTCTTTTAAAATTCAGCACTAGCTACTTACTTTAATGTTTATCTTAATATCTTAGCCCTCATTTTTAGAGTACCTTTTCCAAGCTCTTTCAAATTCTATATATGAGAGAATCTGATAAGAATTATTATTGCCAGTAGATAGATCATCTTTTAATAGAACAAATTCTATAGATGCATTAACTTGTTTCAGAAGAAAATATCTGGACCCAAGTTACAGTATATAATCTGCTTTCTTTTAATCTGAGAAATCTGACAAAAAAAGAAAACTTACACTTTTCAAATAAATTAAGTTTTTAATAAGGTGCCAAGCTTTTCAAAGTTAAAAAGCTTAAATAGAAAAAATATTGTCATGAAAACACAAATACTAAACGTCTTTATTTATTTTTATAAAAATATGTTAAAATACCAGTTGAGGGAATTTTTTTATTAAAACAATTACTCTTTCTAAATAAAAAATATTGTGTCTTTATCAGAAATTGCTTTTTTATATATTATGGATTCAATGCACAATATATAAACTAAGCCAGTTCTGGTTATTCACTCAGCATGGTTAAACAAAGCATGGTTTTATATAACGTGAATCTAGTTTATTTTTTCTGTGCCACTAGGATAAGGCATAGGAAGGTTTCCAATGGTGTAAGGGTCTTCCTGGATGTCCTTACTGAATCTGAATTGGTGTAAAAGATTAAGATGAACTAGATGAAGTGAACTTGCTGGCCACAGAGTTTTTCAAAGGAATCAGTTTTCCGGAAGACAAATAAGTAATTAAAATTTAAGAATGTAAGCAATGAGTCTGAATGCGCAAAGTCAGACTATCTGACTTAAGCAGATATGGTGAAAATGCCTTCAATTTGCAGATTTCTATTTTTCTTAAAATGCACACAGAAGTAGGAATATGCTGTTATTTGGAGATTAAGGTAATCTTATAAAAATGTTAGATCTTTTTTTCCCCTAACCCTGAAAAAAAATATTTTTACTATGTTCCCACAGATGCAAAATACAGAAGCAGAAATATTTTCACCAGTTTAACTTTTCATTTGCAGTTCTAGTACTGTATCTTATGGACATTTCCATGATTCCTCCAGGCAGATCAACAAAGAGAAGACTGCCAGAGGATGGCAGAAGCAATGAAAGTTCCCTTTTCCCCATTCCACCTGCAAGATCCCTCTATTTTTACAGGATGAAGACTTTATTTCTAAGAAATAACATCAGGATCATAATGAATGGTTATAGGCACTCAATAGAGCACACCATTCTTTAGAACAGGGAGGAGGAGCTAGTGGAACACTGATTCAGTATGTATGTTCTAAGGTATACACTTACTCATAATAGGTTGCCAAGGGCACAAGGCAAAGGAAACATGCCACAGGATCCTGGGCAAAACAGGTCAGCAGCAGCTAGGCAGTGCTAACCATGGCTAGCGGATACCAGCTGTGGGCACCCTGGTCCCCATTGGATGAATCTCTGCAATGGCTGCGGGGTGCTGTGCCCAGACCAAGCAGCACTAAACACCCTTTCCGGGGAGGGCAAAGCCCAGCTACTGCCACTGATTTGGAAGTGCAACTTTGCTTCCAGGGGCTAAGTCTGGTGCTGGAGTCTAGTGCTAAGAGTGGGATGAAGCAACCATTGGCCTCCCGATTGGCAGGAGAACCTAGGGCATGCAATGGGGCTGTGCACAAGCCACAGGCAGTGAGACTTATAGGGCTTGACTCAGTCTTTGGGCATCTAGTGACTGCACAGCCTCCCCACTGGACTGGCTCGCTGAGAGTTTCAGAGCGTTCAGCCTTCTGTCAAGTGATAAGTCCCCAGCAACGCAGACCCCATGGCCTCCGTGAGCCACAAGTGCACATGGCTATGGCTATGTGTCGACAAATGCTGCGTGCCATTCTCTTACTTTATGCTGCCTACAAAAAATGTGCCTTTGCCTTACAACATTCCCGCTAGGACTGCCCTGAGCAAAATCAAGACAAGCTGGGATCCTTAATTGCAAGAGACATTATCTCATGCCCATTATCTGTATCCCCTACTACTTCAGAAATATCAACTCAGCCTTCAACTTATTTCCTGGAATTGTCAACTTTGCTTCAACATTTATGTTTTTTAGAAATCAATCTATTTCCTGGAATAACTACTTATCCTTTTTATTCCTCAACCCAGTTTTACTGAACAAAATGAAGCATTTAACTTAACAACATCAATCTTGCAAAAATCCAGAAGAACATCAACACTCAGATTGTTTGTAGACAGAAGAAACCAATCTTATTGTTCCTCTTCTTTTTGTGAAGAAAGGATTACAAAAGAACATTTACAAATATTGTAAACAGCCTCCCTTACAGTATCTGGCTCATGAATGAAAGAACTGGATGGCAATTATATATAGAAAAAGCTTTAAATAGTCCAGACAAACACTGAAGTTCAAATGAAACCATTTTCATCCGTTCTCCCTGGGAGTCTTCAGAGATTTGTCTGCCACTCAGTGGAAAAAAAAATTCCACAGGTTGCCTGGTGCCCATATATCATTTCAATCTAGACAATAAAATACCAGGTAGTTGCCTTTATCAAATGTTTTAAAAATTGTTTAAACATTCTAAGAGACACAGAATTTGTCAAGATGTTGCATGTTTTAAACTTTAAAATAGCATTGTTACATGAACAAAATGGAAAAGAAATATGAACTATTAAATCAATAATGAATCAAGGGTAAAAGCAAATTTCAAAATAATAAATATAGGAACATAATGGAGGAAGTCTGGGGAAAACGTTTAAATGAAATATTAATTATATCTTGTGTTATCTAAGTCTTTCCTACTCATATGCAGATATTTGATACCAAAAATTCCTTCCTATGTTACAAATGTTAAAAAGAGAAGCAACATCACATAATTATGAGTCATTTCCCCCAAGGAAAAAGACTATATCAACTAAAAATTATATGAAGTTCAGGATTTAAAATAAAATGAAACTCCCACTCCCAAGCCAATAATGCTCCATTTTTTTCTATTGTCTAAGCCATTGTCTCAAAAAAAAAAAAAAAAACCCATCCGACCATGTTTTTCAGATAACTATTGAAAAATTTTGAAATGCAACATTGAAAGCCACTTAATACCCAAATCATTTACTGAAATTATCGTGATCACATTAAAGCAAGTTGAATACTGAAATATCAATTACAGCTTTGCTGTAACAAAGTTTATACAGCAGATCTATAGAAATATGACTTGCATTTCAGAATTATGTTGAAATCATTGATTTGATTCATTTACGCAGCAAATGAACTTTTATGCAATGAATGAATGTCAGCCCATTTTTTAAAATTCCACATGTTGTATTTATAATTTATAGGCGAAGTCTATGCATTTAATTTCAACTGCTTGGCAATTATTTAAGCCTCTTGTAACCAATACAGCTAAATTAGTGATGATGACCAGTTTTTCTATTGATTTCAAATCAACAGTGTGACTAATTTAATCTGGACTCAATTTATATTAACAAGTACCTAAAATATATTTCAAAGGTATTTTATCTTCCTCTTAGTAATTAATGAGTGATATCTTGTGTGTTTCTTTCTTATATCCAAAAAGATGAACAAATTATAGCTCAAAAATTGTTCTCTCTCTCTTGGCCTTCCTTATCAGACAATATGCTCTCAGCATGCTACATACAGTACTGATTCTTTTGTTTATTAATAAACAGCTACATTTTGACAAAAATGAACACAATGTTGCTGCTACAAATTGGAAATAACAAGATTTTCAGTTATGTGATGATGCACACCATTTGTAAGATATTTCTTACAATATTGCTACATGGAATAATCTCCATAATTCTATGCTATAATTTTTTTGCTGGGCCATATTTCTGTTCAATAGCATGTAACTTTTGATGGAATCTAAATGAATCACTTTATTTCAGCAGAGTACATATGAAAAGCAATCACCCGTATTTGAATAATTGGTCATCACTCATTAATTATTATTAATAATTTACATATACATAATTTAGACTGCATGATTTATCAGTGTGTGTGTGTGTGTGTGTGTGTGTGTGTGTGTGTGTGTGAGCACACAAATAAACAAGCACTTTTACACTACTCTTACAAAACAACACCACTTATCGTGTAAGTGCTGGTTGGTTTTGGAATAGAATAGAATAGAATAGAATAGAATAGAATAGAATAGAATAGAATAGAATAGAATAGAATAGAATAGAATAACAGACTTGGAAGGGGACCTTGGAGGTCTTCTAGTCCAACCCCCTGTTCACGCAGGAAACCCTATACCATTTCAGACAAGTGGTTGTCCAAAGTCTTCTTAAAAGCTTTCAGTGTTGGAGCATTCACAATTTCTGAAGGCAACTCATTCCACTGATTAATTGTTCTAACTGTCAGGAAATTTCTCCTTAGTTCTATGTTGCTTCTCTCCTTGATTAGTATCCATCCATTGCTTCTTGTTCTGCCCTCAGGACAATGGGGATTATTTTGTTTTGCTGACTGACCACAAAATATATAAAGATAAAACAGCCTGGCTTATTAGAGCAAAAAACTGAAAATAAAGGAAAGGAAACTCTATGTACAGTTGTGTATTGAATCAGAATTTTACTTTTTTTCTTACATAACTGATTTTCATTCTGAAAAATAAGATAGAAGAATAAAATTCCAAATGATCTTTCAACTGAAAGGTAGATATTGCTGTCATATTCATTGTGCAGCAACAAATGCATAAAAACCTCCTAATAAACTAACTACCTTGAACATATTCTGATATAAGACTGACAAGGAAATTTTATTAGCTGTGATAAAGAATACATTAATAACATAACTAAGAAAATAATTTAAAGAAATCAATAAGTCCCATTAGTTGTGCCTCAGGATATATTCATATATTGTATATTTGACTGGATTCAGACCATGGACATGAACTTTTATTCCATCATCTAAAAGGGGCAATATTTTTTAACAGTGGTTCAAGCATCTCAAATCAAGATTTGGATTAATAAATGATGATGTACATCAGTTATTAGTTATTTGATTGATTGGTGTAATTGACTTTTCCAAAAATCCACTTAGATTATGTTTAGGTTTTCAAAAAATAATTCAAAACAGTTGTATTGGCAAAATAAAACTTTAGCAGAAAACATATTTGAATTAAAGCCATTTTGAAAAGTTCATGAAACAAAAGAAGCAGCTCTCATTAAGCTTTGGATAATACTTCCTACTAAATAATTTTTTTAAAAAAACTGTTTTTTTATTAATCAGATCACAGGGATAAGCAGACCTTTACACACACCCCAGGACTCCTTTATAACTAGTGAATACCGTGTGGAAACAGTTCACTTTTACCTGAATAACATTTTGAAAGAAAAGTCATTACAGTGGGTTTGCTTTCACTAAGGGAATCAGTGTTTGAATAATAATGTGCCTTTCAGGGTTCAAAGTAAATTGTGTTCATTAGCATCCTGTTAATAAGAGACAGCTTATTAAATGAAACTTCATGTTTAAAAACATTAAATATCTTTTAAGATCCAGTGTTGTTACAATTAATAAGTGAATTCCCCAGAATTCAGAATAAATCACTAGTCCCTCCTTCTCCGTCCCCCCTACATACACCCTACAAGCCTAACCTATAAAGGCTGAATTCCCCAATTTGGTGTTACCTCGATGAGCTGAGATACCAGAAATTTCAGTCAATCCATTCTCTTTAAAAACCATAGTATATATCCTTTATATTATAACTGTAACACAGTTGATAGTTTTCCACATCCCCCACTTTCTTTCCCAGTGACTGAATATATGAAAGGGATAAAATAATATTTTTCTAACCTGAAGATAGCCACTGAAAAATAATACAATTAAGTCAATGGACTTAACAAAGTTATTATTTTTCCTATTTTTTAATATTTTCAAAGGATATTAAACATATACAAATAGATGTATTTAAATCTGTGAATAAAAAGACTAGAATTTGTTTTGTTTTGTTTTTAATGGGAAGTTAAGTATTCAAGTGCAAGGTTTATTCTCCCTTCTCTGGTAAAAGATCAGCACAAAAAAAAAATGTAGAGTAAAAGCCAAGATCTCTTCAGGCACTTTTAATAAAGGCAAGAAAACTATTCCAGCTCTGCTTCTAAACATCTATCATCTCCCTTAACTGATGAAGAATGACTGTAGCATCATTACTTCTGAACCCATGGATGCTTATAGCCACTTTCAGTCACCTTGGCAGACTTTCTTAGTCAATACAGTGATATCAGAAGTTCCAGTGGATGTGGTATAATTATAACTCATTTCTCTGTCATCCTCCATTCATTCTTTTTTATGAATAGCTGTTTACTTGTAAATGAATTCATGGGAAAGAACAGTGTGCAGAAATGGAAACCAGGCAGTAAAAAAAAAAGGCAAAGGAAAGGGGAGCATTCCAAAGGTGCTTTTTCACGAGGCAACTGGACTTTCTTGTTTTTCTTTGAAGACATTTCACTTCTCATCCAAGAAGCCTCTTCTGCTCTGACCAGATTCTTGGATGAGAAGTGAAATGTCTTCAAAGAAAAACTCCAGTTGCCTCCTGAAAAAACACTTTGGGACAACCATAACTTAGATTAGGTAGGCAACCTTGGCTCTTTTATGACTCATGGACTTCAACTCCCAGAATTCCTGAGCCAGCATGGCTCAGCTTGGAAACCTCTCCCTTTCCCCTCAGCATGGCTGGCTCAGGAATTCTGGAAGTCCACGAGTCATAAAAGAGCCAAGGTTGCCTACCCCTGACCTAGAAGACTGAGAATCTCCATAGCCGAAAGAGCCAGCATATCCATTATCACCACCACCACTACCCCACTTACACATACTCATGAACACTATTGTCAACATAAGTCCATCCAGTGTGTGTGTGCTTTCCTCTATATAATGTCTCAAGTTCAAAAGATCAACTGATTTCAAAGAAGATTGAGATTAAGGTTGAGATTTTATTCCTTTTTGCTAACATCAAGCTAAAGACGATTCCAATTCAAGCTCAGCTACTGATACCTATAGGGACACATCAAATTTAACTTTCTTAGCACCTATAATGAAATGATTTACCCTTTCCCCTTTCCATAATGTTCCCAGATAAGTTTACATTCCTGGAATATTTTGGTAATCTTCCACTTATGATAACCAGGAACAGGAGGACGGTGACAGGCCTGCCAAGATTTTTTCTTTCTCTCCAGCAGGCAATATGAATGTGGCTGATAGACACTCTGCTCAAGCACTGTTGAAACTTTCTGGTGCTCATGTAAATGAGCTTTCATAGTGCTTAAAATCAGTTATTATCAAGATAAGTCTGGCAGCAACAAAATTCTGAAAATAAAAGCATGGAATCTTTGGTTGTATCTCAACACAGAGATGATTCATATGTAATTTGTAATCCTGGTTCTTGCTGAACTTATTTTAACTAAATGAAATAATATGGCAAATTATGGTTCGGAAATAAATTAGAAATAAAATTGCAGTATTCAGGAAGGAAGTATGTAATTCTAGATCTTCATTTAAATTATCTCAACACTTAAGCTTCCCAAATCTCATTCTCTTAAACAGAATTGGAGAAATTTAATGGAAAACATTTTTTACTTTTACAGCACTGTACCTATATATGTATCTTACCAGACCAACAACTTTAGACAGCATTGTAGAATTTAAATATTACCATACTGATAATACACCATGCATGCCTGGGGCAACATTTAAATGAGGTGATGAAGCATAGTATGCGTTGTCAAGTTTTCTTTATTAAGATACTTCAACTATTATCCAAAACTTCTGCAAAGGAAAAAATCAGTAAGTCCTGGATCAATCTAAAATTTAGCCAAAACTTAGGTTGGAACAAGAACAGACTTGAAAACAATTGGGTTCTCCAGCTAGTACTTTCTTTGCCACTGAATGTCTGATTGAGTTATACAAAAGATCCTCATGGTCTAGAGCCTAGGAATAGATAAATACTAAAACATAACGGAAAAAATATATACATATAATAATTTGTCCTTCTATATTGATATAAATGATGCAAAAACCCAGAGAAATGAGGGCTAGCCTCTTGCTGAACTGGCATAGAGTGACCACGTAGTAAGATCATGCTATGCCAATTCAATTGAACAATGACTTTTGGGTTTCAGCACACGTTCCTTCACACAATGTGGATGGATTTCCTTTAGTTCATTGATGCTAAGGGATATGGCAATTTTAGATCTACTCTTTTCACATGTGCGCACATACACACATACACACACATTCTCTTTTTCACATACACACAGTATATATACAACTGCATATATGCTTGTATTGGTGTACATTTCCAGATAGACATATACATTCATAGGCACAGACATTTCCTTTTCTCTTTGGAAGAGAGCTTTATAAAATCTGCCAACAAACTCTGCAGTCCTTACTGGTTATGAGCTTCAAAAGGGACTCAAGATAACAAGTTCAGTGTCCTTGGAGTGAAAGCTAATGTCACCGCTGTGGACAGAGAGTGGGTTTGATGCATCTTCCTTGGTGATGGACTAAGTTGGCAGGGCAGTGGCATCCTGCAACACAGGGCTTATTGCAGGGACCAATCTCATTCCAGTTAGCACAAGTCTTCACGCAACCAGGACCACACGTGTTATAAACTGCACCATGTTTACATTGGATTCCTGGAAGACATTTCAAAGATATGAGTTTCACAGTATCTACTTGGTTGGATCTACAGTTAATCATCCTCAAACTATATCCATGGAAATCACAGTCAGGATACTATAGCTAGTCATTACAATTATTAGTAGAATAATAAAAGAAGAGGTGACATTTTTAAAATATCCCAGCTGAAAACATTTTTTTGGGTGGAATATGACAACCTCATAACCTTGATGATAACTTATAGTGTTAGATTTGAAGGTGTCTCAGTATCTAGTGCCTTCTTTATTTTCCCGGTGCTGATTATATTACAACACATGGTAAATATTATTCCAGCATTTTCTATTGACTCACAACTTTCTCTTTGGAAACATTACAGCATATTTTTCACAAAAGAATTAAAAATTATCATTGGAATGAGGAGAGCAAGTATTGCATTCTCAAAATGCTGGGTTGAATCCTCTAGAAAGAGAGAAGTCTCGGAAGCTTTACACAGCCCACACAACCATAGATTCAAGCTGTCTTTGAGGATCTCCTAATCCTCTGCATTTCAGAGGGAGGAAGGAATTGCATAGGGAAGAAGAATTAATAAAAATCCTTCTTTTACAGCTCTGCCAATAGGAGTGGTCTGCAAAATATTAAGTCCAGATGGCAGCTTTTGGAAGCTTGAGTCTAGAATCCCAAGAAACAAACTGTCAGTAAGAATGACAATAATGTAGCATATAAGCAATAGTGATTTTTTATTATTTTATTTTACAACAACCTATATTGGAATAGGGTCAAGGTGTGTAAAACAAATATTGCTTTCTGCCTCTCAGACATGATCTCTAAAAAGGAATAATGTTTTCCTTGTTACAGATTAATTCTCAATCCAACACACCTGAATAATAAGCTACGCATGTGCCAAAAGCCAACTGTTCAAAACACATAGATTTTGTTGAGTATGCTTTTATGCAGATGTTTTGATTATTATACTTTCATGGAGAGAAAATTGGACATGAAGGATACATTGAACCAATGACCCTTATTTTAAGAGCAGTTTCTGAAACTAGGGAATAAACTGCAACTAGGGACCAAACCCTGACTCCCCAAACGGCTGTAGGTTATATAATAATAATATTGCTAGACCACTTACTGTAGTTCTCAACATTGAACAAGCTGCTGTTTCTAAATTATGTTTGCATGGAATCATCCTCAGTTGTTTCTTTAGAACTTCCAGAGAATCAGTGCATTTCTCTAGAAAGATTTACATGTAGCTTAATCAATGAACCAAGTGGTGTGGGTGAATAATAGTGCTTTTCCCCCATGGCATGGAAAAAAAGTTTCTCTCAATTGTTGAAAAGATCTCCTCACACCAAATGTATATCTCTCTATTGACATAAAAACCAATTTGTTGAAATTTTTGAGCATTTATTATTCTATTCTTCTCTTTTATTTCCTCCAACCCACACAGTCAAACAAATCTGATTCTTTTAATAGCTATGTCATTAAAGTGGTTGTTCTGGAATACCAGTTTAGTGAAAACTGGTAAAAGTTGTCAGAAGAAACTTAGAAAGGAACTTAATAGCTGGATGCTAAAAATCTGGGACTCTAACAAGAAATTTGAATTGCAGGAGATAACAATTTCTAAAGAAAGCAAATGAGTGAGATTAAGGTATCTGTTGTTCAAAGAGGGATCAAATGAGCAGGAAGAAATGGAGAGTGAGAAAAACTCCCACAAAAGACTCTTCCAGACTCAGCTATTCCTTCTGGCATTTTAATTAGAAGCTTTAAGGGAAAACTTCAATTGTTTGAGCAGGTACTGTAGCTTTGAAATGTTCTGCACCTTTGAGAAGAATATCTAGTCACTTAGTGGTGAGTGAAAGTGTGTGTGTGGGGGGGGGGGTGAACTGGTAATTTCCCAGCAAGCTGCCTTAGTTCCATATCCATCCAATTCAATGACTTAACATTGTTGAGTTATTTTTATATGATAGAATGACACAGTTTTGTATGTCTGTAATATTGTAAATATTCACAAAAGGTCTGATATTTTTACTTGAGTTTGCAAAGGACAAGATGAGGGAAATTGCTGTCTGAATCCCACTCCTCTGGAAACCACACCAGAGTTTGTTTAAAGTAACTTGCAAAGGAGCTTAAGAAAATTTACTTGGGAGATCTGGGGGGATGGGGAGGAGATGGATCAACTTCTTGAATCCAGAAGAACAGCTTCTGTGTTACAACAGTGGCCACATCTGTTTATGTCATGACTCTTTAAATCATTCATTATTTTCTTGTTTCTGTCTAAGTATTTTTCTGTCTCTAAAAATGTAATAACTAGTGTTAAACAAACTGCTCCAACATTAAGCAGAACCTCAGCTGAATTTCTATTTATCTTTTATGGATGTAATACCAATTAAGTACAATTGGTTGGAGAATCTTTTTCAGCCCAAGGACACTTATTTTTAATGTGATATTTTGAGGGTTTGAAGGAAGAGGCTGGCATGGACTGAAAGAGCATATTTGCCAAACAAAACAGATTCTCTCCTCTTTTTCCTACCTGTTTCATTTTCTCTTTCTCAAAGTCTTCTTCGTGCAAACTGATTTTGATTTAAATAATTACAGAATGCTTGGTACAACATAGTATGTAAGACTGTATCTTTCCAAATCCCTAGCAGCTCAGACATTGATTGTGCAGCCTGGAAAGGATGGAAACTTATCGAACACATGTGGAAAGCACCTATTCTATTACAACACTGGTCCTGTTGTACTTATTTATTATAAATGTTATATTTATACTTGATCTAATCTGAATTTATTTGTTTTCCCCCTAGGGGCTACTCAAGTATTCCTACTAGCTGAATGCAGGAAGTATATTCACCTATATCTGGGCCACAAATGTTTGTAGTACTGTAAGTCTTAAGACTGATTTCTTTTTGCTGTAGCAGATTAATAACATAGCTATCCTTCTATTCCCTTAAAAAATCATGTTAGGCTCACAGAACTTTCTTTTTATTCGTCTTGTATTTCTTTTGCTCAATTCCAAGGTCTTCCAAAGGCGAATATTCTTAGATATTATAAACACAGGCACTCTGTTGCCTTTTGCATCCACCTTCCTTTTTGATTATAAATGCTTGGGAAATTCTTCTGAACTTTGCTGATCCTATATTCCTGTTTAGTTCACCTTTTGATTCTTTGTTTCTTAAGACTATGGCCAATAAAAAAAAGATGAATTTAGCAATTCATCCAAAATCAGACTCCCCCCCCCATATGCATATCTGTCTTCTACTTCCCACTTCAAATATTACATAGTCATCTGTTTTATTGCTTTCACTCCTTTCTTTATAAATATTAGCTGAGAACAGAAGTTTTAAAAGTGAGTTTTTTCAATACACTTTAAAAAAAATATGAATGTGAATTATTTTAGTAAGCTCAAGGGCAGAAGCAGAGCTATGAACACATAGCTATGTTAGTTAAGCTTCTCTGTGGATGCTGGATATGCTACAATTAACCTTGGCATTTGAGCAAGCATAAAATAAGTGCTCTTTGCACTCCACCCAGGGTTTTAAAAGCAATGTTGTACCTCTCAGCATAATTACAACCACTTGAACTTAAATTATTAGCAGGATCAGTATATTAGGCAATGTTGATTTACTTATTTATTCCTCTTTCCTATTTCCCTTCTGATAAAGACAGATTTATTACAGTCATATTTCCATATGAGCTAGAAGCAGAGCAGGAAATGTTATTAATTAGCCAGAATAATTCCAGCCTATACTGCATTCAACAGACTTAGGCAGATTTGGTGTGCATACAATATGAAGTAAAGAAAGGGGAAATGGAGCAAAGAAAGGTTTTGCAAGTTTCCTTTACGCTCCTCCATGCTGGAATGCATGAAATAGTGAATTCCTTACCAGCACAATTTTCTTCAGGTTTCCAATGGACCTTCAGACCTTCTCTCTGACAAGCTCTGGCATAGGCTAGAAATGACTCACAATAGCAGTTCTTATGAACTGGGCACTCACACATATCTGTCACACAGGACCTGCAAGAGAGAAAGGAGTGAATGGCATCCCCAGAGCCCAATTTTTAAAAATGTATAAAAACCATCACAACAAGTTCCTCCTGTGAGTTCCTGCATTCATAGACATTAATGTTGCTTATATAAATGGTTTATTAACAGAATGGTTACTGGAACCTTGGTAGTGGTAATACTTACTTGTTTTATTTGTCTAAACTACCCAGCCAATACATAATCTGACAGTATGTGGGACCTCAGAAATAATTAAGGGTATAACATTTTACATTCAGTTGCTCACAATAAAAAGAATACTATATTTATGTTTGCTTTGTTAAATTGATATGGCCACCCTGCTCAGCAGGATGACTCTGGACAGCTAACAGCAGTTAAAAACACAAACAATAATAAAATAAAATAAAATAAAATACATAACCCGCAGCCAGGTAAAAAAACAATCCACTGACAATTAAACTAATCAAACTATTTTCATAGGCTCTGACAAGCCAACTTCCATACCCAGGAACACAAAAAGGCAGGGGTATTGTAGAAGGCCAGCAGGACTAGAGTCATTCTAATTTCCAGGGGATAATGTTCCTAAAGGGCAAGTGCCGTGACAGAGAAAGCTTGTTCCCTGGGTCCTGCCAGATGATGCTTCTTGATTGACAGGATCCATACTTATCTCCTCTGCTGGATCAGATTAAAAACTCAAGGGAACAAGGATTCTGTAAATTGCACAGCCCAATGCCTTGAAGGCGACTGCCAGCATCTTGCACGTCACCCAGAAGAATACTGATAACCAATGCAGAGATGTAATAATGTCTGGCACCAGGGGGGGTGCCCATAACTACCTGTGCTGCTGCATTTGGAACCAGGTGCAATTTTGGGATGTTTTTGAAGGACAGCCCCATGGACAGCACATGGTAATGACATTTATTTACTTAATAAATTTCTATGGCTGCCCATCTCCTATACATGAGTCCGAGTGTCTAACAATTAAAACAAAAATTAAAAAAACATAAAAACACAACCAAGAATTAAAAAAACAGAAATAACATAAAATAACAGCTGAGAACAACCAGAGTACCCCACAATCAATATAATCAAGAAATGGGCTCAATGACAACATCAGGGCCCCAGGCTTGATGGCAGAGCCAAGTTTTTCATGCTAAGTGAAAGGCAAGTCCCATGAGATGATAATAGCACGAGGGATTGTAAGGGGTTCATAAAAAAGGTCCTATTGGTGCATAACACGACAATCTGCAAAGGCACATCTAATCATGGCTACTACTGGTCCGCAAACAGGAGCAAAAAGATCTGGAGGACTCCCCCCCCCAAATTACACCAGGTCTGTTTGGGGTAATACAACCCCTTTGAGAGCTAGAGATAGAAAGTGTTTAGAACTGGAGCGAGGGATCTAAAATCTAGAGATGCATAGTTTTGCCAAAGCTGAACTGAAGCCTCTTTTTGCCTATTCCGCCACCACCATCACCAAGCTTTCAGGTATGAAGACAGAGCCTACAGAGCAGTGAGTAAAACAGCTTTTCCCAATGACATTTTGCCAAAATGCTGACTAATGATACCCATAATTTTCAGCAATTTAAAATCATTTCAAAGTCTAAATGTTATACTCCAATACACCTAAATCCCAAAATTGGGGAAGACAGCAGTAAATGTATGTTGAAATTAAGAAATACTATTCTGCAAATTCTTATAATGACCAAACCGCATTAAACTTGGAATGGAGTCCAATAAAAACAAATATACTTTGTTAGAGTATTATTTCAATAGGACTACTAAATCTGTGGTGAGTATGATGGCACGTGTGCTGGCACTAGGTGGCAGCAAAAGAGTTTTGTGATATCCTGAGTCCACAGACTCCTTTGAAGTCCACAGATATGATATTCCTTAGAATAGATTGACCCTGTAAGTCCATTTGCCTGACGTTTTGAGGAAGGTAGCAAGCATGTCCAACAAAATTAAAAAAACAGAACAGAACAAAAATTGAAAAACATTCTATAAAGAATAATTATTTTTCTTTTTATTTATTTTATGTAGTATTAAATTTTTTTGCCACCCATCTCCCCAAAAGAGAAATAGAAAAACACTTAAAAATTTAAGACTACGGACATTCTAATTTTAAAACCAGAACCAAAGAGACTGATATTATGGGTATGAGGTCTTCTTATCCCATCAATCACCTCCATCAGTGAGTGCCCCCCTTGTGGCTCTAAGCCAACCAGTAAAGCCAATTTTTAATACCCTTCCAGAAGGCCACAAAGGTGGAAGCAGTTCTTACCTCCAGTGGTGGAGGGCTTCATATGGATGGGGCCATAGTGGAAAAGGCTCTTTTGTTTAGCTCTGCCTGCTGAAATTCCTTAGCAGATGTGATCCGTAGGAGGCTTCTTCTATTGGCACAACTGGAATGGGCTAATTCTGTTGGGGTGACCTGGCTCCTTAAATGACCTGGATCTGTGCCATGAAGGACTTTAAAAGTAACAACCAACACCTTGACTTGGACCAGGAAGCAAACTGATAACCAATGCAGTTTGTGCAACAGTGGTGTTATATGTGCCACCAGCTGTAGCTTTCCAATACTCTTCAAGGGTAGCCCCAGGCAGAACACATTGCAGTAATTCAACTGAGAGATGATTAGGGTATGAGTAACCATATGTAAGGTCTCACAATCAAGATAAAGACATAAAGGGGACACAACACAAAATTGTGCAAAGGGCCTCCTACCCACGATTGCCATCTGCTCTTCAAGTCATGCATCCAGGTTGCGTACTGAGTCTTTTCTGGGATAGTGCAGCCCTATTCAGAACTAAAGATGATAAACCACCTGGATCCCGAGGTCGCCTGCCATTCCATCTTGCTATGGTTCAGCTGAAGACTGTTGTCCCCCATCCAGACCCTTACAGCCTCCAGGCACTGAGAAAGGGTAGCCACAGCATCCCTTAGATCACTAGCAAAGGAGATGTAAAGCTGTGTGTCATCTGTATTCTGATGATACCTCAACCCACAATGCCAGATGATCTCACACAATGGTTTCATGTAAATGTTAAAAAGGAGCAGAGAGAATATTGAGCTCTCTGGTATCCTACAAGGGAGTGGTCCTGGGCTGGACCTCTCACTTTCTATCTACACCATTTGGGACCGGCCTTGGAAAATAGAGCCAAAGCAGTATAAAATGCCCCAAACCCCACAGTTGGCCCAAAAATCATGGTCAATGGAATTGAAAGCCACCAAGAGTTCAAGAAGAGGAAGAATGGATGCTACACCTCCACCCTGATCTTATCACAAGGGCAACCAATGTGGTTTCTTTCCCATAACCTGGCCTGAAACCTAATTGAAAGGGGGGGGGGTTCTTAGGAAAAAAAAGAGAAACAGCAGTTATAATAAATATAATGATTAGGGGACTGGAGGCTAAAACATACAAGGAACAGTTGCTGGAATTGGGTATGTCTAGTTTAATGAAGAGAAGGATAAGGAGGGACATGATAGCAGTGTTCCAATATCTCAGGGGTTGCCACAAAGAAGAGGGAGTCAAGCTATTCTCCAAAGCATCTGAAGGCAAGACAAGAAACAATGGATGGAAACTTATCAAGGAGAGAAGCAATCTAGAACTAAGAAGAAGTTTCCTGCCAGTGAGAACAATTAATCCGTGAAACGACATGCCTCCAGAAGCTGTGAATGCTCCAACACTGGAAGTCTTTAAGAAGAGATTGGACAGCCATTTGTCTGAAATGATATAGTGTTTCCTGCCAGAGCAGGGAGCTGGACTAGATGACCTCCAAGGTCCATTCCAACGTCTTCTTCTTCTTCTTCTTCTTCTTCTTCTTCTTCTTCTTCTTCTTCTTCTTCTTCTTCTTCTTCTTCTTCTTCTTCTTCTTCTTCTTCTTCTTCTTCTTCTTCTTCTTCTTCTTCTTCTTCTTCATTTATTTATTAAAATTTATAGACCACCCCACTCCCTCAGGACTCCGGGCGGCTAACAATAAAAACACGATAAAACTTAACAAAACAAACAATACAATAACATTCATCCAGGGGTCAGATTTTATAAACCCCAGGCCTGTCGGAAAAGCCAGGTCTTAAGCAGCTTGCGGAAAATCAACAGGGTGGGAGCGGTCCTAATCTCCGGGGGGAGCTGGTTCCAAGACATGGGCACCATCACAGAGAAAGCCCTCCCCCGCAGCCCCGCCAAATGGCACTGCTTGGCCGACGGGACCTGAAGGAGGCCCAGCCTGTGGGATCTAACCGGACAAAGGGAACTATGAGATAGTAGGCGGTCTCGCAAATAGCCTGGCCCTAAGCCATATAGAGCTTTAAAGGTAATAACCAACACCTTGAATTGGACCCGGAGACCAATAGGCAACCAGTGCAGCTCACAGAGGATAGATGTAATGTGGGTGTACCGAGGAACCCCCACTATCACTCGCATGGCTGCATTCTGGATCAACTGTAGTCTCCGAATACTTTTCAAGGGTAGCCCCATGTAGAGTGGGTTGCAGTAGTCCAGGCATGAGGTGACAAGGGCATGAGTGACTGTAAGGAGAGCCTCCCGGTCCAGGTAGGGTCGCAACTGGTGCAACAGATGAACTTGTGCAAAGGTCCTCCCAGCCACAGCCGTCAAATGATGTTCCAATTTCAGCTGTGGATCAAGGAGGACACCCAAGTTGCGAACCCGCTCCGAAGGGGGTATATTTTCCCCTGCTAGAGTCAACACTGGACAGTTAACATGATCCTTGGGAGGCAACATCCAAAACCACTCGGTCTTGTCAGGATTGAGCCTGAGTTTGTTAACCCCCATCCAGACCCTCACGGCTTCAAGGCAATGGCCCATCACATCAGCCGCTTCACTGAGAGAGCTCGGGGAAGAGATATATAGCTGGGTATCATCATGAAACCTCATCCCGTGCTGTCTGATGATCTCACCCAGCGGCTTCATGTAAATGTTAAATAGGAGGGGGGAGAGGACCGACCCCTGTGGCACCCCGCATTCAAGGGGCCTCGGGGTTGACCTCTGC